TTTGCCTTGGTATTGCAGATGCTGGTATGGCACAGGCTGGCCTCTTTGCCGTAGGAGTAGAAAAAGCCAGGCAAGGAATTTTTCTATAGCTCTCAAACATACTAGATATAGTGAATAATATGGAGAAGAGAGAACATGCCTCATCCTGAAGAGAGATGTTTGGTGATTTGAAAAACATCATTTATCACCGGCAAGTAGCTCCTGATACCCCCACCAGTATGTACTCCCTGCAAGGATGGCTTAGCTATCTGTGGATAGCAAAATATTACTTAGTCTACAAGTTGTATACATCATCCTATTTGTCTGCCAAGTATAAAAGGATAATTACATGTTATGAAAGGATCTGTCTGTTCTACAATGTCCATGTTCTGAGAAACTGGCTGACTTTGCATATGTAGTATAAAAGGAGTCAAGTGAGCACTTTATGGGATTATTTGCACTGAAGTGTCACTGAAACTAAAAAGAACATTATTGGGATCCTGTAGGGTAGAATAATAGTGGTAAGGCAGTGGTACGTAAAGTGGAAATTATTTCTTTGTAGTCATTGTGTGGGCTGGGCCAATGATGAAGATGGTGTCAGGGATTTCAGTTGCTCATTAATCTTCGTTAGTAGGCATCGTTGATCTTCACCCCAAATAAACTATTGGTACCTTCTAAACCAGCAGAAGATAAGTGGTTAAGGAAAGATAAGACAACATCTAAGAATTAAAATTACTGAATAAGCACAGAGAATAAATAATGGTTCTCCATGAAAGTAGGCAAGGACCTGTTTGGAAAAAGGTGAATAGATAGAAGAAGGACTGGAGAGGGTCAGGGGTGAAGAGTCAAAGTGCATTATATATTATATACATATATGAAATGTCATAATGACACCCATTTTTCTGCACACTTAATATTCTAATAAAAAGAAACTCTCAGGGGCTGGGAAGGTGGCTCAGTGGTAGAGCGCTTGCCTTGCATGCCTGAGGCCCTGGGTTCGATTCCTCAGCACCACATAAGCAAAAAAAAAAAGCCAGAAGTGGCACTGTGGCACAAGTGGTAGAGCGCTAGCCTTGAGCTGAAGAGCTGAGGGACAGCGCCCAGGCCCAGAGTTCAGGCCCCACAACCGGACGCCCCCCAACAAAAAGAAAGAAAGAAAAAGAAACTGTCAAAGCTGTGATCCCAGCTACTCAAGAGAGATAGTTCAAAGCCAGCTCAGAGAAAGTTAGCAGGAACTTAATCTCAAAAGGAGGAGGAAAGTTGGGGGAGTGGCTTAAGTGATAAAATGTTTGCCCAGAAAATGTGAAGCCCTGGATTCAATCCCCAGTACCTCAAAATATTTTTGTATGTTTTTTATTATAAAAATGTTGTACAGAGGGATTACAGTTACATGGGCAAGGTAATGTGTACATTTTCTATTGAGCATTGTTGCCTCCTCCTTTGTTTTCCCCCTCTCAAAATGTTTTTTAAATGGTGGGTTTCATGAATAAAGAAATATTCATTGCAAATATAAGGATCACTTTGCATCTATCCCATTTAAAGAGAATTTAAAATTTATGTTAAAGTTTCTAAGGAAGGTAAAATTAACATAGATATACACACTTTTTAGATACAAGAAAATAGTGCAGGGCTTCTGAAAAGCAAGTAGCCACATATCAAGAACCTAATCAATGAAGCCAGGTGCCAGTGGCTCACAACTATGATCCTAGCTACTCAGGAGGCTGATATCTGAGGATCACAGCCAGCCTAAGAAGGAAAGTACATGAAACTCTTAGCTCCAATTAACCACCAAAAACCAGATGTGGAGCTGTGACTCAAGTAGTAGAACACTAGCCTTGAGCAAAACAGCTCAGGAACAGCACCAGCCCCAAGTTCAAGCTTCAGGACCAGCACACACCAAAAAAAATGTTTCTTCTTAGTGAAATACATCTAACATAAAGGAAATTGTATAATAAGGATAAAGTAATTGATACAACATCATTGTAGCATCGCTTATAATAGTAAAATAATAGAAATATTGAATTATCCAGTTATAAAGAATGGTTAAACATATGTCTTCATAGAAGGCAACATTGTATAATACCAAGATAATAATTCTGAAGACTTTAAAATGCTTAAATTATAATATTAAGAAAATACAGTAGGACTAGGATTATGGCTTAGTGATAGAGTGCTTGTCTAGTATGTATGAGGCCCTGGGTTCAATTCCACAGTACCACATAAAAACAAACAAAAAAGTCATTAAGTAATCAACAAAAGAAAATATACCATAAAATTACAATATACCAGAAAAATGTAAGAAAATATGCTGGTATTGCAGGTATATATCACCACACTAGCTTTAACAAACGTTTATAAATACACAGAGAAATATATATGTGTGCATATATAGTCTGTGTTTGTATAGTTATATGAAACATATGTGACATACATACTAAGTTTGAACATGTGCATACTTGGCCAAAAATGACCATACTCTTTTCTACCCCGTATAGTAGCTTTGAGAATCAGTTTTATATAAATTCTAAGAATTAGTAAAAATATGGATGAGCTATTTTACTTTCTTTCTTTCCATAAATTACTAAAAGTAAATTTATTGTATATGTCAAAGCATAAAGCATCATATTATAAAGCATAACTAGATAGAAAAAAGATTACTATATGAAGCAAATTAATGTTTACTATTTCCAAAAACAACCCTTTTGTTTGTTTTGTTTTGAGGGCAAGAGAAGCTAAGATCTAATTTAGCATGAATGTAGTATTTTATTACCTATAGTCCTTGGATTGTATATTAGATCGTTATACTTCTTATTTCCATTGATTTTATAATGTTTTATCACAGGAAATATATTGTGATTTGATATTCATCACCAAAGCTACATTCTGTACAGAAACACACAAGTTTTGGTATTGACAACATGGCTAACTAAAAGAGCCTACATCATTATTCTTATTTAATATTAAACATCTCAAATCACACAGTCTGCTCAATTATATTAGTGTATCTACTTAACAAATAGTTCTTATCATATGAAAGCTGTTGTCCTGTACCCATTGAATAAGAACCTTATGAAGAAAGCCTTCTAACTGTCTTGATCCTACAAGAAACCAATGTTCACAGAGGTTAAAGTTATTTAAATAGATTACACTGATAGAGATGGTTGAGTCAAGATCTGAACTCAGGCCACCTGGCCTCACAGTCCAAGTCCTGATTGCAGTCCTCTTTTTTCCCTGCTTAGTCATTACATGTATTACCAGCATCTGTGCTGTTTTTGCATTGTGAAGATTTCATGGAACAAAGGGTACAGCTCTTGATTCAAAACATAATTCTCTAGGCTCCAGTTATGATTCAAAATTCAGTTCCCTTAGCCTTAGACAAATGTCAACCATGTTACAACCAGATGCTAGTCACAAAAAGACATCCCTTGTCTTTGTAATGACCCAAGGACAATCTCTGCAGCCTACAGAGAATAGCTGACCATAGCATGGTCAGTGTTTCCAATAGATGCTGAGAAATTCTGGATCTTGGCTAAGTTGCCTAATGATTCAAAAGTGTTTTGATGACTATTTGCCTTTGTACTTGTGTATACACATACCCATGTTCTCATGCCACGTGTATGTGTAACTGCTTTAATTAAAATACTAATACCACAAAATAAAACAGCATTCATGTATACTGTACTATAAGATTATTCTTGAGTCCTTCTCAGATAAAAGATTCTTCTCCATCTCTTTCCATCTGAGATTGCAAGGCAAATTTATAGAAATCTGAAAATTGTTTACATCTTAGTAGTTAAAACTAGGTAAAGTGGCTTAAACCTGTAATCCTAGCTACTTAAAGTGTGGAGGTAAGGGATCAATGTTTAAGGCAAGGATAGTCATAAACATTTACAATACTCCATCTCACTCAATGGCTGGGCGAGGTAGCATGTGCCCATTATCCCAACTACAGGAGAAGCACAATGTCTGGGCACAGTGTTGCACTCCTGTCATCCCAGTGATGGTGGAAGCACACATAGAGGGTCCCCACCCAGGCTAGCTTGGACATAAAGTGAGACCTTACTTGGAAAATAATCAACATCGAAATGGAGTGGTAGCATGGCTCAAGTGGTAGAGTAACTGCATAGCAAGTGGTTGCATGTTTAAAGAAACATTAAATAAGAGAAGAGTCAAGACAGTCAAGATGGCATTTCATATATACCATGTGACTTTAAGCAAGCCTCTAAATTTCTACCTCAATTTCCTATTCTACAAAATAAGGCATTTCCTTCTCTATGAAATAGAACATACCTCACAGAGCTGCTAGAAAAAAATATGTAAATATATTTCAAAATACTTAATAGATCGACTTAGCCAACGTAATTCAGTAAAGGTTAGATATTATCATTTTTATTTCCAGTTCTTAGCTACAAAATAAATCTTTCCTTTTTACATGAAACCAAAACAAAACAAGGAATTACATTCAATACTAAAACTGACATGGAACTGGAAGGCCCCTTTTTAAAGATTTTTGTGTTCATCAAACCAAATTATTAATTTAACAAAGTTCAAAGTTTAAGTTACACAGTTCATATTTGTAATATTTGAACTAAATATGTATCCTAAATACTACTATAATTAAAAGATTAGATTTCATATAAAATCCTGTTATCATGAAAAAATATTCTCCAACTTAAATACATAAGCATCAAAAATTGAATTTCTTTTTATGCTATGTGTTATCTCATCCTAAAGAGAGAGATTATCTTTTCTAAATATGATTGTTTCTATTTCATGCCTACTCATTATTTAAAGCATATCTTAAAGTAATGCACAATGAAATCAAATTACAGGGGAACATTAATCCCATATCTGGGATAAAGTGATATATTTTTATAAATGATTCTACTAATCACTAAAGCTTTATTAATCTCTTTATTTCTTTCAAAATTGTCTCTTTTCTTGACAGGAGCTGTGTAAAATATCGAAAGGCATATTAAATAAATAATTTTTGTTTTCTTTCTTTCCTTCTTTCTTGATAGTCATTCCCAACACAGCACTGCAACCCGTCAGCCTTCAGTGACTCTTCAACGGGCCATCTCCCTCGAAGGGTAAGATACTGTGCTTTCTCTTAAATTATACTATGCAGTATAAAGTCCTGCCCCTCTCTCCCTCCTTTCTCTTCATCTTCCTTCTCCCCCTCCCACTCATCCAGCAATTATCTGTGAAGCTCAAGTTATGTACCAGCCACCAGCTTTAACAAGAAAATTAGGTTTCATCTTACCCTTCAGAGGGCCCATTGTGTAAGGTGAATGAGAGATATATGAACATACACTTGTAGTACAGCATAAACACTATACAAATCAAGAGGAAAGGATACACGATTGATCGAGGATCCAAGAAGTGTGCTTGACAGAGAATAGGCAGGAAAGGGGGAGGAGGTTCTGGTTAGGGCAGTTTCAGAGATAGAGCTCTTAACTTCTTTTGAGATACATCGCTAGACTCAAATATAGCTCTCAAGATGAGAGCTGAATTGTTGGTAGGTATCTGCGGAACATCATAAGTTCATGGATATTCTTTCAAGGCAAGAGAGAAGAAATGAATATTTAGCATAAGACAAGTACAACAATAGCCCTATGACACATATACCTTTGTTGACTCTAAAAGAGGTTTAGAAAATGTTTCCTAAGGATACTTACAAAGTAGGAGACAGCATGGATTTGAAATGAAATCTGACTCCAATAGACAGGTCTAACCCTGTAATATGAATGAAAAGCTTTATTGAGCTGGAGAGCACTGGTTATACAATTTATAAAACACATCCAAGCCTAGAATTGCCTAGGGCAAAAAAATATGATAAACAGTGATTAGTTCTAATATTAGAAACCACTTAATAGGACAGGAGCCAGTAGCTCACATCTATAATCCAAGTTACTCAGGAGGCTGAGATCTGAGGATCTTGGTTCAAAGCCAGCTCAGGTAGAAATATCTGTGTGACTCTCATCTCTAATTAACCACCCCAAAATTCCCTTAGTTGAGCTGTGGTTCAAATGGTAAAGCATTAGCTTTGAGCACAAAAACTCAAGGACAGTGCCCAGGCCCCAATATCAAGTCCCAGGAATGGCACATGCAAAAAATTAAATAAATAAGAAGAAAGAGAGAAATTAAGAGAGAAAGAGAAAATCATTTTGGTCATTAACATGAAAATTTCCTCTCACAGTGCTAAATAATGACATTTCTACTTAAAGCCTTTCTTTTTTTTATTAACAAAATCTTAGGAGCACTTGTAAATAAGCATTTTGTTTTGGTATTCTCCCTTGAGTTCAATGATCTCTGCTGTAAACATAATCTCAAATTCTAATTCTCTAATGAGATGAAGCTGCCAAAGGGAAACACAGTATTGACCAACTTTTACAAAATTAGAGATCCATAGTAGACATTCAATAAGCACAAGTTGAATATACACTTAGTCCACTATTCTTTAAAGAAAAAAGCATAGTATGTAAAGATAATATAAATCAGTCAATCAATCAGCAAATCAATCAGCCAGTTTCTGGGGGTTCAGGAAGCTGAGATTTGAGGATTACAGTCAGAAGCCAGCTGAGCAGGGAAGTCTATGAGACTTTTATCTACAATTAACCACCAAAAAGCCAGAAATGGAGTTTGGCTGAAGTGGTAGAGTGTTAGCCTTGAGCTGCAAAGCTCTGGAACAGCACCCAAGCTCTGAGTTCAAGACTAGCACACACAAAAACAGTATTAAACCCAGATTAATTTGAAGACCTACTTTGAACATTAATTCTAAAACACATTGTTTATTTTAAAGATTTCTAAATACAAAACAAAATCACTGAGGACAAAAGTCTCACTCTTAAAAGGGAAATTTTTAGCAATTTTCTATAAATCCCAGAATATGAAGGTTCATATTATATGTGTCCAGCTGGCTATCAGTCTAAGTGATAATATAGCACATAATTATTGTCACTGAATACACAGTGGGAAAGTTCTTTTTCCTTTACATAGACCAGGTTTAGCAGGTTTCCCATTAAGGTGTTAAACTGCTAAGTGTAGGCAATTGGCTGAAATTGGAAATTCTATTATTTTAAAATTCTTCTTCCTAATGCTTTTATGAAAAGAAACTACGTAGGATATTTTTTAAATGGATGTCGTTTAAAAGGCCATATGGTTATATAATTCTCACCTCCATTTCTATTTACTTGACATAAAATAAATGAAGACAATTCCAATTTCCCATTTATTTGATCCATAGTGACAACCGAACTGTCTAACTGAGCCCTCCACCATAACCACTGCTGTTTAAAACTGATATTGGAATCATCTATAACTATGCTAGACAAAATAAGGTAGAATAATATCCCCACAAACTGGGTGAGCTCTCTGCTTCAGTTTCAACTTGACCAGCACAGCGCTCACCTGAATCTACTCCTCTTCCTCCTGAAACTCCATAAAAGGAAGCTAATGGCCAGGTGCCAGTGGCTCACACCTGCAATCCCAGCTACTCAGGAGGCTGAGATCTGAGGACTGTGGTTCAAAGGCATCCCCAACAAGAAAGTATGTGAGACTCTCAACTTCAATTAACCACCAAAAGCTGGAAGATATGGCTCAGGTGGTAGAGCATCAACCATGAGAGAGGTGGGGGGAAAAAAATCTAAGGAAGAGGGACCAGACCCTGAGTTCAAGCCCCAGTACTGGCACAAAAAAAAAAAAAAGAAGAAGCTAATATAATTTTATAAGTCACTATAGTGACTTATAGTGACAAAGGAAATGGAAAGATATTTCAAGAACAGAATGTCACCCTAGAAAACAGACAAGACATTGAGGGATGAGGCAGAGCACAGAAGTCCCAGGATTAGATCTTTCACGGAATATGGGCACTTTTCACAAGAACAGTTGTTTCCGTGTATCTGTAGGGATTACATTCCAAAACCCCAGTGGAAACCTGAAATTGCAGACAGTTCTGAGCCCAGTAATGGCTGCTTTTCCCATCTTAACTGAACATTTATCATACACAGTGGCCACAGCTTTTACAGCCTAAGATAACAACAGCAAAACCAGCATAATGTGTTTCTTTCTTTACACTGCAAGGATGGAAGATTCGTTCTGGGGTACAGAACCCTTTTCCTGCCAAGGGCCATTGGGATTTTAAAGAATCATTCATGGGCCAGATAAAATAATCAATGCAGGCAGCTGGCAGCTACAGCTAACAAGACATCCCTGAGAAGCATACATGTCCATCCCATTGTGATGATGTGGACTGTATACAGCCTGGGATCAAAGTTCTCCACTCCTGATGGCAACTTAAACATACTTTTTACTTTTCTTATTAAGTTTTGAAGTTTTACCTTTTTTTTTTTTTTTTTTGCCAGTCCTAGAGCTTGAACTCTGGGCCTAGGCACTATCCCTGAGCATCTTTTGCTCAAGGCTAGTGCTCTATCAGTTGAGCCACAGCTCTACTTCTGGCTTTTTGGGTGGCTAATTGGAGATAAGAGTCTCAAGAACTTTCCCCTCTAGGCTAGCTTCGAACCACAATACTCAAATTTCAGCTTCTTGAGTAGCTAGGACTATAGGCATGAGCCACCTGTGCCTGGCTGAAGTTTTACCTTTATAATGAAAGGAAGCACTTTTTGGCTTTTCTTGGGAATATTCAAAAGAGCTAGCATCACTATTGAGTGCTTTGGGGCCGTTATTAATTAAATAAAGACACCAGTGTTGTGACGCTCTTGTTGATCTGATAAACAAGGTAACTTCTAAGTACCTAAGGAACAGTGTGGCTGCACTGGTTAAATGGGATAACAGAGCTAAGTCTCCTATTGCTGCTCAGAATGGTACACAAAAAACAGCGATATGGAGACAGCTGTACTCTGTGTGAATGGCATCTCCTATAGGTGCTGTCCTGCGGCTGTCACCACAGCCAGCATGAAGGGACAGACAACTCAGAGAAGATTAGATCTACCTGGCAGGACCCAAGAAGTTCAGAGACTTCTGAATATCATGACAAAAGATTAGACTGAATACAATTCGGAGAATAAGAATAGGGAGTCCCACTCAGCACATACACACACAACCCTCCATACAGAGTACTTACCTAAAAGGATCTCTAAAGAACTGTGCATATTCTTCTAGAAAACACAGCTGAGTTAAATTGAGTATTGACCTCCGCTGCAGAGCCTTTTACCATGTGCCACTCAGAGGAAAGTTTCCAGTTTTCTCAGTGAATCTGAACCCTTTAAGAAACTTTTCAGCCAGATGCTGGTGGCTCACTACTGTTAGCCTAGCTCCTCAGGAGGCTGAGATTGAGAATCATGGCTTAAAGACAGCACAGCCAGGGAATTCTGTGAGACTCTTCAAATAACCACCAAAAAGCCAGAAGGAGAGGTGTGGCTCAACTGGAGTCAGCCTTGAGTGAAAATGCTGAGGCTCAATGCCTAGGCGTGAGTTCAAGCTCCAGTACTGGCAAAAAAAAAAAAAGGCCTTATGCTTATACACTTTACATGCTTGTGCCTTGCCAGCCAGCTTTTCTACTACTTCATTCTTAAATATAACCAGAGAGCCACCACATGGTCCCAAACACTTTAGCAAAACCTACAGAATGATAGAGACAAAATGAGAACACTCATTTCAATAGGAAAATTACTTAGCTGGGGTGGGGTGGGGGTGAAGGGGAATGATGGACGCTGCAGGGAAGGGAAGGAAAGTGGGAGAATGAGGGAGGGGGAAACAATATTCGACAAGAAATGTACTTACTCCCTTACAAATGTAAGTGTAACTCCTCTGTACCTCACCTTAACAATAATATTAAATTTAAGAACGAAACAGGAAAATTAGGTTAAAGAAACAGGTAAACAAAATAGAATGTAAAGAAACACTCTATATAAGCATTTTCTTATACCACTAGAATCAGAACTGGAACGCTTTACAAAGCCAGGTAAGACTGTGAAGAGAGGTGTCACTAATAAGAATGTGTTTGGAGAAAGGCAGAGGCTTCAAAAGGAAAGAATAGAAGAAAATCATGTGCTAAACATCTGCTAAGATTAAGGAGCATCTTCAGCTACACAACAATCCCTTTTTTGTCCAGTGAAGAGTTTTTTACTTC